GGTAAGTCAGATTTGAATTTGTCAAGAAAGGATAACACTAAATATCAATACAGATGTTGTGAAGGGTCTCGGAGCGGACTTGAAGTTTACACTGGGTCAGCCGTTCAGGCCGTACGAGCAGCTGATGGGTGTCTTGCCTGACCGAAGCAAGTCTATCGTTCCTGAAGTCTACTGGGATCTCATGACGAACCCCAACTCCCCTATTTATGACTTCTATCCCCGAGACTTTGAGCTCGACATGAACGGAAAGAAGATGGAATGGGAAGCCATTGTGAAGATTCCCTTCATCGACGAGAAACGTCTTCTTAGTGCCATGGCGACAAAGAATGATCAACTCAGCCAACAGGAGAAGTCAAGAAACGGCTTCGGTGTTGCTCTTAAGTTTACGTATAACCCTGAGGTTGCGTACACCTATCCGTCGTCTCTTGTGGGCGTGTTCCCTGAGATCAGCCCCTGCCACTGCATCGAGAACATATTCGAACTGCCAAACACTGAAGGATTGAACTTCCGCAAGGGTCTCGTTGAAGGCGCCAAAATCAACATCGATGCCCTGGCAGGATTCCCTACCCTGCACAACCTCCCCTACACAGCGATGTTAGTTGACCACTACGGCGTCAATGTTTTCCAAGCAGATAGCAAGAACCCCAGCATGATCATTACACTCACCGATTCGGAAGTGAGAACGAAGGCTGAAGTGGCCAAGGCCAAGCTTGGAAAGCGTTGCTTCGTTGGTTATCCTTTCTTGCAGGAAGCGAAGATCGTGAAGGTCTCCGACGAGCTCTTCGACTACGAGCTTGATGGGCGCGATGGCTCCGTGGTTACACGTCATCACGGCGATAGAGAGATCAGGGAATGGTCTAAAGAAGCCGCGTACATCGAGAATTGGCACGCAAAACGTCTCGGGTTCACAATTGGCACCGTCGAGTCCCTTGTCCAAGTTCACATGCTCAAGGGTTTGATCAAGACCGAGGAGGGTGCTCTGATCAAGGAGTACGCTGAGAACCCCAGCATGAGGAGCATCTACGCCTCCCAGACGATTGTCGACGAGGTCGTCAACGAGGACGAGCGTTTCATCGAGAAGGCTGCTGTCCCAATTGAAGAGGAGTACCCAGTCGGTACTCAGGCTTTCTTCCTGGGCGAATTTCAATACGGACGAGCTCTCGAGGTCACTGGGCATGCCAACAACAAGGCGAATATCAGAGTCTTGGCCCTGAAGAACAAGGAACCAGACTTCGCGAAGCCGATCATTCAAGATATGAAGCGCCAGAACCGGTACACTCCATCGTATGCCGTTGCAAAGATGCTGAACCTTCATCCCTTAATTCTGAGCAAGATCTTGTCGTCCTATCAGATCAACACGGTTGGCGGCCTCAGAGTCAACCTCGGACTCAATCTCAAGTTCGATGCGAAGAAGCAGAAGGTTCTGGGCTACTCCCAGAAATCAGACTCTGGATGGGAATTCAGTAACGCTGCTATCGAACTTTTAGCCAGGTATATTGCTGCCTTCCCCGACTTCTTCGCAGCCATCCAGCAGAATCCTCAGTCAAGCGATGTCAGCGACACTGATCTCTGGAAGGACCCCAAGGTCGCCGCTGCGCGCGTGAAGGAGATTGGTGCATGGCTGAAGTCAGCTCAGACGAGCAAGTTTGAGAGGGTTCCTTTGGATGCCGAGCAACTGGATTCCGTCGTGGTGATGCGTCTTGCTGAGGAGGGTGCGAATGTTTTTACCAACTCCCATGAGGTCGAGGTGAAAAACATGAAGGGCGTCCCGCGGTCAGCCATCATGAAGCCCAGCGACGCCGAGCTCTTCCTGAGCAATCAGAGATTTGCGCTCGGCGACCGTGTCAGCTTTCTGTCCTCTTCTGGCAAAGTGCCCTTGGGAAGTCGCGGAACAGTAGTTGGCTTGAGCCGTACCGCCAATCATGTACTCCTTGACGTTGTCTGGGATTTGACTTTCATGAGCGGTACGACACTGGGCGACAGATGTCCGCCTTTCCGCGGTATGACTGTCTACTCTTCGTCAGTACTCAACACTACACACAAGCAAGTTGTGTCTGGTTCAAAGGCCGGAAACTTGCGCCGGCCGGCACCTCCTGTGTCTTCATCGCTCACCACTGGTGCAGCTGGCGTTGTTCAGTACAAGGATGCTCCTGCTCCTAGCCCCCTCGCAGGTGGTTGGCGCGGTGCTGTTAATGGCAGTCCCGGCCACTCTGGTCGCGGTCGCGGTCGCGGCGGTGCGCCCAACTTGCTGCACAGCAATCTGGTCTACCGTCCTGCCAATGGTGCGGGAGAGGGGCATGAAGTCAATGGCCATGGTCATCGCAGTGGAGGAACCCCGAACGGCAGAGGCCGCGGTCGTGGACGTGGTGGACCTGTTCAACACCCTGGACACTCAGGACTTCATGAGACGCCGCAGCAACCGATGTATTCCAACGTCCCACCTCCTGCCAACCTTGATGCTAGAGGCAGAGGACGTGGACGTGGACGCGGTGGAAGGGGTAGGGGCGGTCCCCGTGGCCGTGGTGGCAACGGAGCTGGAGCGCCGGAATCTTAGGACGTCCATCGAATCTCCCGAGACAAGTCCCGCAGCCGAAAACGCCGGCCCAAGGCAACATCATTTTCTGATAGAAGATGTTGGTCTCTAAAAGAAGGCACATGGATAGAACGAAGACAGGCATGATACGGAGTATAGGCATAAAGGCGATGTCTTACAGCGACAATTGGTTACCTCCAAGTTGCAGAGATGTTGGTTGTAGCGATGTGGAAGAGAATAGCATCATGTACAACAGCCAGCTCACAAGATCAATGCATCCTGTAACATTGTGTTGTGACCAACAGTATCGTCACGTCTTGATAAATGAGTTTAAGACAGGCACCGTTTGATGAGTGAAAAAGAAAAAGTCCATTTAGAATACGTGATATCTGCTCTGCAGCCGCTCCTCTTACGGCTTCTTCTCCTTGACCTTTAGAGCAGGAAGCTTGAAAGCCTTGCTAACACCACCCTTAAGCGCCTTCCAGTATCCGAGGTCCTGGTTTTGGTTCCACGTCAAGATGCCGACCCAGGGTTGAACGTTGTAGTGGAGCTTCAAGACGACCTTGTCGGCTTCGGCGATCTTGCCCGAGGGGTGGGTGATTTGGTACTTGGGCTTCTGGTTCTTGATCTTGAGCTTGCCACTGTAGGTTTGTTAGCACCCGCTCTCTCGTTGAAGCAGCTCCGAAACAGTGTACTTACCGGCTGGGGTCGATGCTCCTGCCCTCGGCGCTCTTCTTCAGCTTCCGCATGGCAGCGGGGCCGATGTTGGCGAGGTGGTCGGAGCTAGGGGCGGTGATGATCTGGTCCCAAATGACGGCCTGGTTGGTCACGTTGACGCCGGGAATGGCGTTCTTCTTAGAGTTGTCGGGCCATTCCGCTGTCACGTAGACGAAGACCTGCTTGGTGTTCCAGGTGAAGAGGTCCGAGAGGTCGGCGTCGAGGGAGAACTTGATGATGGCGTACTCCTCCTTCTTACTGCTGTAGTAGTGGGGACGGCCCTTGACGACCTGGACGTTCGTGGTCTTGATCTCGCCGGAGGAGGGCGCGCGGGGAGTGACGAGGTCCGTCGCGGCGATGAAGGCGGCGACGAAGAAGGCTACTGTTGTGAAGAAGCCAAATGCGTTCTGGGCGCGGGTTATGGTGTTGTACATCTTGGGGGAGGGATCGGGCCGGCTGGGGCGCGGCGATCGTAGGGAAGGGCGGGCTGTTGTTTAGCTGCGTTGCATGAAGGAGAAGAGGGTGAGATTTGGTTTTGGGGGTCGAGACCAACGAAGCTTTCAGCCTTGCGGAGATGTGGCTTCAGCGGGTGTGGTCTCCGCCAGGGACCATTAGGTGCAAAGCTATCAGCGCAAGGTTGAGCTAAAGTGACCTGTAAGCTTAGGTACGTACCGAGTTACCTCAGGCGGGACATGAGGTAAGGTAGGTAGGCACGTAACCTGGAAAGGCAAGAGCCGAACCGGTGGTGCGGACTGTGGATCCTGGTTCTCCAGTGGATCCTTGCCGGCACCCGGGGAAGCTCGATGCCAGCAGATGTCTCGTTCGAATGTCAGTTGAAGGTTGGTCTTGACATTCTTGAGCGAGGAAGTGCCGCGTAGAATGCAAGCCTTGTCAGCGACACACCTTCTTTTGTTTCTTGCAAAAGGACTCCTGCCATCTTTGCTTCGTCAGTTTGAGGAGATCGTGTCAAGGGAAGAAGTGCTGAAGCAGATCCATTTGCAAGCTCCCTTGTCAATCCATCTATCCATCCCCCACGCATCTCGTATGCCTTCTCTAAGAGGCTTTGCTTTCGTTTGGCCCTTTCCCCTCTTCTCTTCTCGAGTGTGGGCTGCCGTAAAAGACTCAGACGCTCAACTACATCTCAAGAGATTCGCATGACTTCCTGCTTGACCCTCTCAACTAGTCTTCTGCTTCTGGCCTGCCCATTCTGCTGCAACTAGCTGCCTTTGCACATCAAGCATGTTTTCAACTCATCTTGGCCAATCCACTTCGACTAGCAGCAGCCTTCACTCTCACCTCCCAAATGCCACACTTCTGGCAACGAACTACCGTGGCATCTGTAGAAGAGGAAACCATGGCCCACGCAAGAGAAAATGGCAGAGAGGTCAGTCTGAAAACGATCGTTCATTTTGTTGCCGGTCATTCAATCTCATGCGTTCGAAGCCAAGCGGCTAGAATGAGAGAAGGAGTGGGTGGACTGTCTGGAAGTGGCAAGTGTCTTCGCAGCGGGTGACGCGCCCGACGCGCTGGTTTAATTGAGTGGAACCCGCCAAACCTGCCCGTTATCGCCAGCACAGGCCTGCCACAAGGCTACCTGCCTACCAATCCGCTGTAGCCAGCGCGTGTCAGCGGGCCCCTCGCCCTGTTAGCTGTACATGTGGCACCCTTCCACCTCAAAATTTCGACCCGAGTTGCAGGGCAAACCGCACCTTTTGTCTGCGCAGACCCCACTACTAACCGACTTTCGTGAATGAAGAAGGAACACAGAACGACACCGCCTGCCGACCACGCACCTTCTTATCCCAAGACCTCGCCGCATTCCTGCGATGAAACGGCTCAAAAGTACGCAGCTCCTCACTCCTTGTCGTCCACTCCAACCTCAAATGCCCACTCGCCTTCCTTACCAGCTACCGGCACGAGACTGACCTTCCCCAGAGCCCTAGAGGAGCTAGGTCGAGAACAGCCCGCGCATGAGGCAGAGGAAGAGACAGGATCCCAAGGCGGAGGCAAGACGTGCGGCAAGGACGGTGTCGCCGGGTCCACTATCAGGCGGAGAGCTGCGAGGAGGAACACCATCACGTATGCGTTTGCGCCAGACAGGTTTTCCGGGTTCACCACTGACAAACGGGCTGCAGGGCTGAGCAACTACGAGAACGATACCGAGATCCCGAGAACCATTCGTTCCCTGCATACGGGTACACTACGACTTCATGCGCCGCCATAGACCATGTCACTGACCATGGCTTTTGTAGGAATCCAAAGGACGGAGTTCCCATTTCAGACCCAATGGTAAGGTCCACGGGCAGAAGAAAGACGAGCCTAGCTAATGCTAGGATAGAGTGCGAAGAGCAACAGATTGAAGGGGCTCTTGAGTGGTTCTTTTGCCCCTAAGAAAAACTTCGACCCGGGAACTGGGGGTCAGAACAAGAGGCCAAGCTACTCTACGACGACAAACAACGAACCCCCTAGGTCTGCGAAGCGCCAGAAGACGAAAGATGAAGCCTCACCCGCTGCCTCGTACACGAACTCGACGTTCGCTCCTCCTCCTTCTCCATCGCCAGTCCGGTCGATCAGGTCCTCGTCGGCTGTGGATTTGACGAAACCTGACGTCGACGCTGCTAGCAACCGCTCGACTCAGCAGCCAGCTTTCCAGGTCGAAGAATACCGTACTGTGCAGAGGAACAATAGCGTTCCAAGGAAAAACACCCGGACACGCAAAAGGTCGGCCAACAGGTCGCCGGCCTCCAAGGTTCAACCGTTCGACATCGACGCCGAGGAGGACGAGATCTCACAGGATATGCCGGCAGTGAAGAAGCGAAATGTTGGCAAGATGGTACCTTTCAAGATGACACCTCTTAAGGGGTCACGAGATGCCTCAGAAGGAATATCGGACAGCGACCTCCATAAAATCGACGAACTCGCCTCCGAAGCTGGCTCTGCCAAGAAGCGCCAGGTTTTCGACGTTGACCCTATTTCGGACGACGAGAAGCCGTCGCCGACGACGTCTGAAAGCCGTCTGGCCAAGGCCGACATGTCCCGTGTTGAGTTCAAGAAGCAGAAGCCCGACGCCGTAATTTTCAAGCTGAAGCGAGCTGTCTCCGGCAAACATACAATCGTCGTCGATGACTTGCCTCCTGAAGAACAGCCACACCTCCAGGTTCTAGACGACAAGAAACATCTTATTGCATGCAGACGCAACGGTAAACGGCATCTCGGCTATCATTGGATTGATGTGAAATTGAATTTCTGTTCAACGATTCGCTATACGTCAATCGCGACCCCGTTAGCAAGGATTTCCAGATGTGCGTCTGAGGACGCTCCAGGCCTCCTAGTGTTGGAATTTGCCGCGAATAATGATGCCCTTCGATTTGGAAATTGGGTTGAGGAGACTGCTGGAGGACTGCATAACATGAAATTATTGTGTGAACCAGAAGACAGGCGAGTTGAACTACACACTCTAGCCCAAGGTGCTTCACTAATACTAAGCCTAGCCAACAACTTCAGAAGGTCTTCGACAAGCAATGGGAAAACGCCGTCAATTACAAACCAGCAGCTTGGACTCCAAAGCCAGACGACATCAGATATCTTGAGTCGAAGCAAGCAAGCAAGGACGGCGACATTCAGAAGTCTACGCCGCGAACCAGCTCTCGTCCGAACTCCGCTCACCAAGGTACATCATACCAATCCGGCAAACCGCTCAGAAGTAGTATGAACACGGGCGATCCTGCGTCTACACCCAGCAAAACCCCAAGAACGTCTTCTTTTTTTACACTTGCTGGCGAGAAAGATGCCAAAGCCGAGCCCCGGCGGACTCGAGACTTGCCGCAAAGACAGACTAGAGATGCGGCTGCCCGACATACAACTGAGCCAAAGCAAAGCATCTTGGCACCGCGGTCGCCTAGTCCAGTGCTGTGGACGGAGGAAAATAAAGAATGGAAAAAGATTTGGGATGACGACAAGCCACTCCTTTACCCAGAATTCGGCAAACACAAAGCGACTGTCATCAGAGATGATATTTTCAGACTCGACGAGGGCCAATTCATGAACGACAATCTCATCTGGTTCTACATGAAGTATCTCCAGGTCAAAATCGAAAAGGAGAATAAGCAGACCCACGACAGGATATATTTCATGAACACCTACTTCTACCCGAAGCTCACAGAAAAGTCGGGCCGAGGGATCAACTATGAAGGCGTCAGATCATGGACGACGAAAGTCGATCTTTTCTCTTACGATTACATCGTCGTTCCCGTCAATGAACAAGCGCATTGGTACCTCGCCATCATTTGTCACCCGTCCAAACTTATCAAAGCCCAAGAGGTACAGGAGTTTGATCAAGAACCGCCCCAGGTTGCACAGAAAGAGGCTTTAGTCTCTGCGGTCGGAGAACAGGTGGAGCATATGAGTTTAGATGATCCTGCGACTGAGAATAAGGACACGGTCGTGCTCGTTGAATCGAAAGCTTCGCCTGTCAAGTCGCAGCTGCCCCGGAAAAGTACAGGGGCTCTACCTCGCAAGAAGGACCCCTCTGAGGCCAGAGTCATCACTCTGGATTCGCTCGGTGTTGGACACTCAGCGACTTGTGGCAACCTGAAAGAGTATCTTGTCCGTGAAGCCAAAGACAAGAAAAACCTGGAAATCGAGGCTCCGGGCCAATTTGGCATGACTGCGAAGAATATCCCGGAGCAACTCGATCATGCAAGCTGCGGTGCTTTTCTGCTGGGCTACTTGCGAGAATTCTTGAAGGCTCCGGATGACACCGTTGGTCGCATTGTGCGCAAGGAGGAAATGAATTGGGATATCACGTCTATCGCAATGCGAAGCGAGTTGCGCAGCATTATTATCGAGCAACGAGAAGAACAAAACCGACGTTTCGCTTTGCTTGCTGCGGAAAAGAAGGCCAAGCGCAAAACACCAAAGGCACCCATTTCGAGCAAGTCATCGGAGGAGCCAAGTGGCGTGCCCTCGACACCAAGGACTCCCGTTTCAGCTGGAGACGCGCGCAAGAAGCCGTCTTCTACTATCAAAGGGTCCCCTGCGATCCCTTCGATCCCTTCAATGGATGGCAGCAGCTCTCCCGTCAAGATAGAAACCAATGGCGAAGCACCACCTGTGCACGATACTGTACCCCAAGAGCCATCTGGGTCTGAAGTCGGCATAGCCAAGACTGCGGAAGAGCTGCAGCCTGTCGCGTCGAAAATTTCTGAGCGGCCGAAAACGCCGCCCAGGTCTGAGCCGCCCGCAAAGGTCAATTCTTCCCCAACCCAGCAGAGAACGAGCCCTCGCTTCAACAAAGGCAAAACGAATGGTCAAGTTGACAAGATGCAAACCACCGACGAGGCTCCTGCTGCTTCGCCTTCGGCAACCTCGAAGTTGGGGTCAGCTCAAAAACGACTGAGAAAACCAGGGTTTAGTCCGGCAGAGGAGATCATGAACCAGATATCGTCACCGTCCAAGACTCATCCCATGCCCATCCGCACTGAGCGGCGTGCTTCTGGGCAAAACGAAAAAAGTCCGACCCCAACCCAGCAGCTTCTAAGTGAATCGCAAGATTCGCCATCCAAAACAACACCAACACAGAGTCTCACCCACACAGCCGAACGCCCAAGCACGCACAAAGACCGACCAATGCCGAAACAAAAGGATCTCCGGACCCCCACGCAGGCGCCCACACTCACGAGCCCCTATTTCGCGCCTCCTGTCAAATCGCCGCCTTCAGCGACTAAGCCTAGGCAACTGAGTATCGAGGAAATACCTCAACCCATATCGACTCAACCCATACCTAGCATTGAGGATGAGGGGCTTTACCACAAGTCACCCGGCAATAGTGGTTTCAAGTCCAGTCAGACCGTGACTGTAGATCTCACCGACTAGGGTGTGCTTCAAGATACCCATGATGATGAATTTAGCGATGAGCAGCCAGTTATGGCTGAAGCGAAGGAGACATAATAAGGTTTGGCAGGCATAACGATTGGGAAAACCGATCAAGTAGATTTGATCCTTTGCCTTTCGCCGATTGTTTGGTTGGCGAGGCGTTGTTGAGGAAGCGCATGGTCCAATAGCATAGGAAGCCTTGATATCCATACCCATAGAGTTATAGCATGGCGTCAACAGGGGCCAAGAAGAATTGAATGAAGTTCTCGAAGAGTGGCTGCGATTTTCCATGGCCTTGATGGAGAGTAGAGGCTCATCTCGTAGATCGTACATTGTGGTACAAGATCCTCTATGCAAACTTCCCAGCTCCTTCCCCCTCTCTTAGGGATATAAACACGTCTAACTTTTAATCGCTTCCCGAATCTGATGCATCATTATGGTTGCCATTTACGTCTGGCTTTTTTACCACTCTCGGCACCTCAAACACGTAACCACCGTTCTTCCCTTTGCCCTTCTTCATCTGCCACCTGCCCAACCTGTGCTCCTTTCCAACTGCAGCGACGACGCAAACACCGTCTTGGCCGCGGTCACCGCGCTCAAAGATGGCAATATCGTTAATCACGCCCTTCAGGCCGCAGACATCCGCTGACTTGCCGTTGGGCGCAGATTTTGAGGCTCGCTCAGCCTCTGATGTGAGAACACCCGCCGCTTCAATCTTTCTCTTGTCTTCGCTCAGCCGCCACACTCTTATGCAACCGTCCCAGCTGCCACTGAGGATGACGTCCGAGTAAGGAATCGTCTTGAGCGCTGTGATCCACCGCGGCTGAGGCGGCGGTACGAGGCTCGAGTCTGGGTTGTGGTCCGCCGAGATTTCGTCGGGGCGGAGAGGTTCTTCTAGGCCGTGGGCCATGGGGAGGATGAAAATGGGCTTCTTCTTGGTCACGCCCCAGAGTGCCAACGAGCCGTTGTCGCTGCCGGTGACGAAGAGCTCGTCGTCGATCATGGCTACACGGTCCATGCTGCCCTCATGAGGGAGCGAGCGCGGGTCAACGTCTGGACGGGACTTCTTGTCTACTGCACCACCGCGGAAGACGAGCTGTGTCTCTTCCGCAACCTTCCACAGACGTGCTGTACGGTCACGCGCGCCCACACTGACGCAGCGTTCTTGGGCGAGGGCGTCAATATCGACGATCTCATCTTGGTGTCCGAACAGCGTCTCGATGTACGCGAGCTCGTCTAAGCTCCAGACCTTGACGGTGCGGTCTCTTGAGCAGGAGTACAGCTGATTTGTGCCACGACGGAAAGCAAGACCAGTCACGGCGTCGCGGTGGTGCGTGAAAACGCGGATGGGCTTGAGGGTTTCGGCGTCGTAGATGATGAGCCTGCGGTCCTCGCCGCCGGTGACGACGTACTTGCCGTCCGGCGAGGCGGCAACGCAGAGGATCTTCTCCACGTGACGCTGAAACGACTTGTTCCTGGCGGCATTGATGTTGCCTCTCAACCATGTCTGCAGCTCGGGTCGCTTGCGCGGCGGCGCGGGCGGCTTCTTGGGCTTCTTGCGCGTGGTCTGTTGGAACTGGTTCTTCGGCAGGTCTTGTATCCTCCACTTGTGTACGTACAGATCCTTGGTGGTGGTGTAGGCGTAGGGGAAGTTGACGGCAACGGAGGTAAAGGTCTCGGTGTTGTTCTTGAAGAAGGAAGAGGTTGCGTTGCCAAAGGCGAGTTCGTCCGCGAGCTGGCGATAGACTTTTCCCTTCGACTCGGCCACGTCCTCTTGTAAGCGCTCGTTGATCAGATCGCGGTCGATCTCGGCGGCGTCGAAGCCCGCAAGGTCCACCTGCTCCTTGACGTTCTCGAGGTACTGCTCGGCCAGCCTCAGACGGCGCTCCGCGGCCGTCTCGCCGGGCACCTCGTCGTCGTCGTCTTCGGAGCCATTGCTCTCTTCGGGGCCGGCGCTGACTATGCTCTCATCGTCCGAGTCGCTGCCCGAGATGGATTCGTCGTCGTCGTCACGCTCAGTTCGCTTCTTGGAGGCGGGTGCTGCTGATTTCGCGCCTTTCGCCGCGCCGGTCTTGCCTTTGGCTGCTGCCGCTTTTGGAGGGGCCCTGTTGTTCGCGGTCTTGGAGGCTGCGATTCGCTTCTTGGGAGCCTCGGGGGCGGCTGTCCTCTTGCGCTTCTTGTTCGATCCGGGGATTGTGAAGAAGGAGGACATGTTGGGCACGCGGTCGGGTGACCTCTAAGGGGGTATCTGGGCGAATTGCTCCCGTCTTCGCCTGGGCTGCCTTCTCGGTGAACTTTTTTTTAGGTGGGCATCCTGTCCAGAAAAAAAAAAGTTCTGGACGGGTACGTATTTCGGAGAATCAGATGTCAATGTGGGGTCACCTGGGCCAATTGTGTGAGATATGGCAGGGGTGGTTTTTCCGGGCTCGGAGGCGGGCGGCGGTCTGATTCGGCAGAATTCCGCTGTCGGTTGGTGCGTTCAGGCTGTAGCTTGACTGCGCGTTCCGGGGGGTAGCTCGACGTAGCCACCAGGTAGAAGGCTGACGAGACGACGACCCATACCCAACGACCGAACAAACCAAACAACAACCTTCCACCCCTCCAACCACGAAGCAGACACAGCAACAGCAGCCAACATGTAAGAATACATTCTCTACAGCTTCTCGTTGTTTTTCATGGATGCAATGGCTAATTTGAATTGCGTCGGCCAGGGAGGTGTTACTCGGTATCACGGGCAAGGACTTCACCATCATTGCAGCTTCCAAAGCTGCCATGAGAGGCGCTACCGTCCTCAAGGTCGCCGACGACAAGACGAGACCTCTCAACAAGCACACACTGATCGCGTACTCTGGCGAGGCGGGTGACACTGGTCAGTAGCTGCTGTGCCCCACCGAGCCTCCCCTCCTACCCAGTTCGGAGCGGGAAGCTTCATCGTCACGACGGCGAGATAGGTGCTAACGTTAGAATGAAACTAGTGCAATTCGCCGACTATATTCAAGCAAACTCCCAGCTCTACTCGATGCGTAACGAGACGGACCTCTCACCCTCCGGCCTGGCCAACTTCATCCGCGGCGAGCTCGCCTCGAGCTTGCGTTCGCGCAAGCCCTACAACGTCAACCTCCTCCTGGGTGGCGTCGACCCCATCACACAGAAGCCTGCGCTGTACTGGCTGGACTATCTCGCCTCGCTGGCGCCGGTGCCATATGCCGCCCACGGCTACGCACAGTATGTTTGCCCAGGGAGCTCCATATCTGCCACGAGCGGAGCATGTGACTAGGAGGCGGAACGACGAAAGCTGACGATGATATAGATACTACTGCCTGTCGATCCTCGATAAGCACCACCACCCCGACATCACCCTCGGCCAGGGCATCAAGATCTTGAACATGTGCACGGACGAGCTCAAGAGACGGTTACCGATTGACTTCAAGGGCATGGTTGTCAAGGCCGTCACCAAGGACGGCATCGTGGACATAGAATTCGACGATGACAAGGTGGTGAAGGCTCCTTGAGCGAAGCAGAAGGCGGATGAGTGATGAAAAACGGGCCCTTTTTTTGATGACGTGCAAGGAGCATCAAGAGGCCTTGCCAGCAACAACTGTACTACTAGACCGGGCTGGTAATCGATACAGGCATCAGTTCTATCATGAGAAGCGAGGTCGAAGAGGGTTATGCGGTGCTCTCTGGGTGATGCAACTCGCTGGAGGTTTCTTCTCGGCTCGGTTGGCAAGACCGACCAGTTGACCAGGGATATTGCCAGCATAAAATTCATATCCAGCGAGACCGTATTGTGTAAAAAAGGCCTGGATATGGTGCCTCGTCTTTTCTACAACAGGGCACATGGTTCCGACGCTCGGATTTGACTTTGCCTGACAGCGGTGTGATTTTCGCTGTATCAGCGTTTGAAAAGCGCTGAGTCGGGGTCGAGGGGCAAGCGGTGAGGTCACGGTTTTGCAGCATAAACAGGGATAACGGGCGTTTGAAACGTGGAAGGAGGGCCGGCCAAGCGGTGCCAGCACCAGCCAGGCCGGCTGTTTGGCCGTACTTTTTTCCTTTTCGCTTCTCGAATCGTTCGTTTCTTGCCCGGCGTTTGTGTAGTGTGTGTAATTTTAGGTGTGATCCGACAACATGTTTGGCTTCATCCCATCATCTCGGGCGTCTCAAGAGTTGGGAGGATTAGGACGGCATGCCGGCCGGCCGGTCGAATCAGTACCGGCGATACGTACCCGACCGTCTGGACTAGGCCGGATGTTGACTCGTTTGGCTGCCCTCTGAGCAACAAATCCCTTGTGAAGCTGACTAGTACGAAAGTAAATGCGTGTTTCTTTATTGGTCGCAACGGGCAGCTCGGCGGTGCCGATGCATCAGACAATGAAATGCGAATGGTGGTTGGGATTTCTCAGGTTCTGTATTTTTCATTCCGCAACCCTGGGCCGAAGGGAAGTTTTGCCCTGGGAGTGGCGTGGTTGAATGAGTGTCCGGCCAGACAACTGGAACTCAACGGGGTCGGTTGTCGGAGTGGAGGACGTGGGATGTGTTAGGGGCCATGCGAGTGCAAGGACCCAGGAGATGACGTAGGTGAAGGAGTGCCTTCACAGAATTTCTCATCGAAAGCACTTGCAGTCGAGGGCTTCCTGTGCCACGTCTGGGTTTCTGGAATGCGAGTACAAAACCCAAAACCCTAAGTATGGCGTGGTAGTGGTTGGTCGAACCTCCAGATTGAGTTTCCATGTTCCGGTGTTGAGCATCCGCTTGTCTTTTTGACTGAGAGTGGGGGGTGCCGCCCATGGTCTCAGCTATCTGGATAGCCTACCTAGTTCAGTGTTTTCTAAGAAGGCGGATTATTGGAAAATAGTCAAAGCCAACGTCTTAGTTTAGTCGCTTCAAGGGATGGCCAAGAAAAAGGAACAGAATCAAATCGGATCATTTCTTCATCTCAGCCTGCGTCTGCCTGGATCGACTGTTCGGTCATCTCTGCGTAAAGTTGGTCGAGAAGAGGCCCTGTCTACGCACCTCGTAAAACACCACATCGACTTGTCAGATTGCTGACTGAAAATGCTGTTAATGGACTTGCCCAAAAAAAGCCTCCTGAGCATCCAATTCCTCAAATCGCCACTCTAGCCACCAACCCCCCATTATCGACTTCACTGCGGGGCACTTTGCAACCTCCAACTTCATGTCTTGTTCCTCGTCCCCCGTCCAGTCTAGTCTAGCCCCTGTCACTTGACTCACCTTGGCCCAAATAGGCCACCACCAACCTCTGTCTTTGAGCTTTTCGTCAGCCTTCAGCAGAAATCCCAGCAACCGAGCCATTTGGGAGAACAGTGAGGGAAAAGGAAGGGAATTTTAGGTGCTCGTCTTCATCCATCATCGACATACGTCTTTTAGCCCTTCCCCAGACTAGATCGAGCGCACGAGCCGACTAAACCTGGCACCATCGGAATCCGGATACATTCCGTACTCTATTCAAGATTCAGGGTCCCGTTCATGCTTAGGCTGGGGCGACATCGACGTGACGTTTAGCTCGATTATCGATAACAAAACGCCTTGTGTGACACCACCACAGAGACCGCAAAAGGGACAATCCGCTTTGCTCATCGCAGGTACGTCCAAACGCCGAAGGTGTGTTTCCTTCGTCCCAGGTGTCCTACCAACCCCGGTATTCCGCAAAATCCCCGCTGTCGTCGTCGCCGTGGTCGCCGTCAACAGATTGGCTCCCTCCTCAGGGCCGCGCAAAGAGCGCAAGAAAGAAAGGGGAAGGGAAAATTCAGTTGCAGGGCCGTTGGTTGGTGTGGCAGGTAACTTAGTGCGTGGCCTGTCACCTCACATGTCATCATTTCCTTCCCACGCTGCAAAGAGCAAGCACATGCTGCTACGTCTACGGGGAACGTGGCCAATCCGGTGCGTTGCTTATCCACTCGTCTGGCGGCGGCCTGTACTGGGTAGCGGCTGAGAGCCAGAGCCTGGGGCCTGGAGCCTGAGCGCGGGCAGGCAGGTTGTCCTCGTCGGCGCAGTGGAAGGAGGGAAAAAAAAACCTGGGAACTTGGAAGGCGAAACCAAGCAGGCAGGCAGGCATGCCGTAGGACTCACCTTCCATCCCGTCCCACCAGTGCAGCGTTAGTGCGGGTGGCAGTCTCTAGGTACCGACCCAGCAGGTTGCCTGCTGGCTGCGGAAGGGAGGAAGGCGCCCCCCAAATTTTTTTCCTCAGAGGGGGTGCATTGCCAGAGTCACAACGCACTGCCAACAGACACAGGTTGCAGGGGTGTCTGGCCTTTTCTGGTGGATTCCGACACAATCTCAAACCAATTTTTTTCTTCCCTACTTCTTGCCTCCGATCTCCAGTCCCTTTTCTCTCCCACAACCTCCCCCTCAAAAACTCTTCCCACACCACAAAAAGGGATTTTCCTATCCTCACATCCCCCAAACCACAAACCCTCTCACGCATTTGTTCTCTTGTCTTTCCTTTGAGCATCTTGGGAAATACAAGGCCTCGGAACTAATCAGTGCCCCAGAGCACGCAACGCGCCTGCCTAATTAGACGACAGAGACGAACGTTTGGAAGTCACCCCCGACTTTCGGTTTTTCTTTCTCTTTCATCCTTCTTTCGGTTTGCCTGTTTGTTTTCATCTCGACAACGGACCGGTTTCCCTTCATTTCATCTACTCTCTGCTGCATTCCACAGTCTTTTCGAGAGTAACGATCAATCGACTCGACTCGCCTTTCGAGATACCCTTCTGTCGACGCCACAACTCCCGTTTCTTCGACAGACGATCCGATCAACCCATCCATCATGGCCGATCAACTCAACATGTCTGGCCTGAACATTCAGGACCAGCAGAACCAGCCTCGTTCCTACATCCCTCCCCACATGCGTGGTAAGATCAACGGTGGTGGCGGCGGTGGAGGTCCCCCTCCTGCTGGCCCTCCTCCCATGAACGGCGGTCTGAACAACAGCGCCTGGGCTGGGTAAGTCGACCCTTCCATGAGATCCCCTTCTGGCCGTCTTGCCTTCCGTAACTGACACATTTCCCAAGCAGGAACCAGAACTTCGACGCGCGTCAGCCCGGTGGCGACTGGCCCGCCATGGGCGGCCCCGGTGGTCCTGGCGGTCCTCCCGCTGCTGGACCCCCTCCTCAGCAGCAGCCCTACCAGCCTCGCGGAGGCCGCAACTGGGGTGGTGAGGGTGGCCGTGGAGGCTACAGCGGCGGTGGTGGCTACGGTCACAACGCTGGCGGCGGCGGCGGTGGCCAGCAGGCTCGCGGATCCGGTGATGGCCAGTGGCGCGACGGCAAGCACATTCCCGGCCCCGCCAACCCCCGTGTCGAGCGCGAGCTCTTCGGAACCGCCGACGACCCGTCCAAGCAGCACACCGGTATCAACTTCGAGAAGTACGACGACATTCCCGTCGAGGCCTCCGGACACGACGTCCCTGAGCCCGTCCTGACCTTCTCCAACCCCCCTCTCGACAACCACCTTATCGGCAACATCGAGATGGCCCGCTACAAGATGCCCNACCCCCCTCTCGACAACCACCTTATCGGCAACATCGAGATGGCCCGCTACAAGATGCCCACCCCCGTCCAGAAGTACTCCATCCCCATCGTCATGGGTGGTCGTGACCTCATGGCTTGTGCCCAGACTGGTTCCGGAAAGACTGGTGGTTTTCTCTTCCCCATTCTCTCTCAGGCTTTTATCCACGGTCCCTCTGCCATCCCCGCCAACGCCGCTGGCGGTTTCGGTCGTCAGCGCAAGGCTTACCCCACCTCTCTGATTCTCGCCCCCACTCGTGAACTTGTCTCTCAGATCTACGACGAGTCTCGCAAGTTTGCTTACCGTTCCTGGGTCCGCCCTTGCGTCGTCTACGGTGGTGCCGATATTGGCTCCCAGCTCCGCCAGATCGAGCGCGGCTGTGACCTGCTCGTCGCTACCCCCGGTCGTCTTGTCGACCTTATCGAGCGTGGCCGCATCTCCCTGCAGAACATTAAGTATCTTGTGCTGGACGAGGCCGATCGCATGCTTGACATGGGTTTCGAGCCCCAGATCCGTCGCATTGTCGAGGGTGAGGACATGCCCAACGTCCAGAACCGCCAGACTCTCATGTTCTCGGCCACCTTCCCCCGCGATATTCAGATGCTCGCTCGCGACTTCTTGAAGGACTACGTCTTCCTTTCCGTCGGTCGTGTCGGTTCCACTTCTGAGAACATCACCCAGAAGGTCGAGTACGTTGAGGACGTTGACAAGCGTTCCGTGCTCTTGGATATCCTCCACACCCACGGTGCTGGTCTCACTCTGATTTTCGTCGAGACCAAGCGTATGGCCGACTCTCTCTCCGACTTCCTCATCAACCAGAACTTCCCCGCCACCTCCATTCACGGTGACCGCACCCAGCGTGAGCGTGAGCGCGCCCTTGAGTTCTTCCGTAACGGTCGTTGCCCCATTTTGGTTGCCACCGCCGTTGCTGCTCGTGGTCTCGATATTCCCAACGTCACTCACGTGGTCAACTACGACTTGCCCACCGACATTGACGACTACGTCCACCGCATTGGTCGTACTGGTCGTGCCGGAAACACTGGTCACTCTACTGCCTTCTTCAACCGTGGCAACCGTGGTGTCGTCCGTGACCTCATCGAGCTTCTCAAGGAGGCCAACCAGGAGGTTCCCAGCTTCCTCGAGACCATCGCCCGCGAGTCTTCATACGGTGGTGGCCGCGGCGGCCGTGGTGGTCGTCCTCGTGGTGGTGGCCAGGGTGCCAACCGTGACTTCCGCAAGTTCGGTGGTGGTGGTTTCGGCGGTCCCCCCGGCGGCGGCGGCGGCGGCGGCTTCAACAGCGGCGGTGGTGGCGGCTACGGCGGTGGCGGTGGCGGTGGTGGTTTCGGCGGTGCTCCTGGAGGTGGCTTCAGCGGCGGCGGTGGCTACTCCGGCGGCGGCGGATACGGTGGTGGTGGTGGCTACGGCAACCCCAGCGGTCCCGGCGGAAACTCGTCTTGGTGGTAAACGTCTCTCCACCGCGACACTTGGCAGCTGTGACAACATGAGTCTCACAGCCTTTTGCCATGCAGCGTCTGCAACACGCTGCCAGTTTTCGATTTTTCTTTTTCTTTTGGTCTGCGCGCATGGGTCGACACTGTACGCATTCGTCGTTTCTCGTTTCTCTGCATTTGGACTTCGACACGGCGGCGTGGCCCCGAGAGCCGACGGTATTGCCTCTCAATTTTCAACGAGAAGCATCATCGGGTGTTCGGGCAGGCATCGGCATCGATAGAGAGCATTTCTTTTTTTGCTGGACCGAAACTCCATGATACCCTTAGACCGACATTGGGAAAAGCTTTCAGAATCGGCAGAGCGCATGAAGAACACCCACATGCGGTGTGCTACAGCGTGGCTGGATCTACGGATACACGACACGGATCCTGGATCTGCTACGCATTACGACGTTCATGTTTCTGCTTTCTTCAAGCGTTTCCCGAAGGGCATTTTCTCGCTTTTCGATGATAGAAGGGTCATGCATTTCGCCGTGCATACATAGACAAAAGTGGATTTCTCGGTCGTCTGGTTCAACGTCACAACAGGCTTGTCCCCGGGGCAAACAGGGCAGGGCAGTGACACTCAGGACGAGGCGGCGGCATAGACTGGACTGGTAATGGAAGGATCGGATGGACGGTCGACAGAACGGATAATTACAAGACGTTTTGAGAGCGGGAACCAGAGGCCCTCCCCGGTACAAATTAGGGATTCACAGGGAAGGGATACAAAAGTTCTTGCTCTTAATCGGTTAATGGCCACACATGGACGTGGTCTTCAGCTCAGGCAATGGGAAAAGGATTGCCGAGGGCTGGAGGCATCAGAGACTTCGGTCTTGGGTTCGGGGCAAAGCGGCCGTGCAAGGCCTCCCCAGGTAGACAGCCAGTCTGGACGGAGAGTCCCAATAAAAACAGATTCTGATAAACATGTTGTCTTGTGCCTGGTTCGTAGCATTCATGTAGAGGAATTACGTTTCGTGACCCAAAAACGACTCGCGGAGATGGACGGAATCTCAAACACACAGCATATGAGGAGTTTGTCGCCTGGAGACATCCTTACAGCAGGTGGAACTAATTGGATTGAATTTTGAATCGTGATCTTCTCCCTAGCTCAATTAATAGCGAAACATTGGACTCAGGAAGGCAACGCCAGTTCTCGGGAGGCAAGTTTATTGAGGCTCAATGGAATTTCGAGGGGGGGAAAGAAACTCGTTATCAACGCCCACTGCCCAGTCTTGTGAACCTTTATGACTACTCAGGTGTTTCTTTTAAAAACAAATCAAACTGATCCACATAGAAAGATAAATTTCTTCCGAATATAATGTAAGCTTCAAGGTATCAACATATAGCCTGCCATTTGGCCTCATCTTTCTGAGAGAGACATGGGGAAAAAACTCTATTCGCATCATCGCAGTCTAAAATACCTCACCAGTCGTTCCGTAGTAATCACCTAGAGTGACGAAAACCGGGTGGGGTTGAATCCGTAGAGAGGCCCGGCAAAGACAGGAGGATACCAGGCAGGCTGCAGCTGCAGCCCGGGCGAGGCCTGGTGAGGTACGTAGTTCGCGCAGACTAAGGTAGGGGGGTTGGACCAGGAATTTTAGTGGTCGGGGGAGATAGCCTGACGCGCTCCCCCAAATCGTGAGCTCGTGCATGCTGTAATTGTGGTCTTCCCGGGTACCTCGCAAGTTGGTGGGAATCTTACGGCTCAAGATCAGCTGGTCTGGGCGGCGGAAAGTCCAATCGCGGCTCACACTTTCTCTCCTTCTCCGTTCCGTCACATCAAACACATTCACCCATCCCTTAACCTCGCGATTGGCAATTTTTTGTTCCAAGCAACGTCTCCCCATCAATTCACCCAGCCACCTCGAAAGCTGCGCGTCTCGATAATTGCGCCCGCGGCCACGACGACTTCCGCATTCGTGTCCCCGAGCGACGGCGCTGCCCCAGTGATCACGACCTTTCCGGCTCTGTCCTGAATCACCTGTGCCCTACCGATCGATCAGCCTCGTCGCACCTTTCCATCCGATGGCGCCCGCTTCACCCAGTTCCACTGCGGCAGGCGCCATGTCGGACGCGGAAGCCCCGACATCTCCCCCTCGCGCTGGCGAGGGCAAATCCTTCCTCTCGCAGGCAATGACCGAGGACGACGATACGCAAATGATGGATGCGACTCCGGAGCCGACCGAGAAGACCACAGGCCGCGGTAAGAAGGGTGGTCAGTCGAAAGATTCATCTCAGGTCATCACCGGAAAGATTAGACATCTGAAGAAGGAGGATGGCGAGCCACTCTGGCGCAAAGACATCCAGTATGACTTCCTCAGAGCCATCTTCGATGACGAGAATGAGGTCTTCACCAACTCCTACGACCCCGACAAGGGCCGCCAGAACTTTGCCGATCTCTACATCGACACTATGTCGCGTAGCAGCAAGACGAGCAAGGTCTTGCGCGACAAGCTGCTTAGCGACCGGAATGCTGCCAAGGGAATGGCCATGGTCTGTCTGCTGGTCAACATTGGAAGGATGAACACGACGCTTAATTGTAAGAACATCCCCCTCGTTTGCCACACTCGATTCTCATGCTGACGAACCCCTAGTTTTTCCCGAGATGCGAGCCCAATTACGAACCTACCACGCCATCCCTTCCCTCCAGGCCAACCAAGATGCGCACGCCTATAAACAGCTTCAAGATGCCCCGAGATTGAAGTCCATTCTGAAGGGCGGCGCTGAGGATCGGGAGGAGCCCTCCTCTCTTAACAAGATCAAATCTTTGGAAGCTCCGAGGACGAACCCGGTCAACCTGCTCTTCTTGATATGTCAGTCGGCTGCCAAGATTGCCGAGCTGCACTTCCCTCCTGGGCGGGAGTTCCACGATCTCGTTATGAAGACCAACTACACCAGCAAATCCCGTGCGAGGGCTTTCCTCTGGGTTATGTGGTTCTATCTCGAATCCGATTTCACGGAAGAGGGTTGCGAAGAGAACCCGTTTGGTTCGGGTGTCGACTACAACGTAGATGTCGCCAACCAAGGCATCCCCGAGCTGGAGATCATGACCCCGGAGGAAGAGGCGCTGGAGAACGTTGACACGCCCACCGAGATCCAGTTTGGAGAGGAGAAGCAGAAGATGCGTGCAAAGATTCTTGAGGCGGATCAGGCATACCTGGCCGACAGTCAGACCAAGCGAGGTTCGAGGACATCTCGCATCATGGCTGAGGAGGGGCCAGCAATCCTACCGAAGATCCGCCCGTCGAGACACGAATCCGATCTGGATAGTACCAGATCGACACCGCCGCCAAGGGCTCTGGCCCGCGGGCTTGGAAGCACTATTAGACGTGGCGGAGCTTCTCTCAAGTACCAGATCTTCGAAGGCTCCTCGCCAGCTGGCCCCGGCCACCATCAAGCAGAGGGCATTCCCACCCGAAAGCCTCGGCCGCCCACGGCGCACCAGATTGCAGTCGAAAGGAACAGGAATCAGAGGGTCGAATACATCCTCGACCGTGGCATCCGCAAGCAACATCATAAGGCCAGAAAAGCCCGACGTCAAGATGGTGCCATCTACCGCCAGTACCAGCGTAACCTGCATCTTGCAGACCCTTTTGAGAACAGCGACGGTGAGGATGGCTCCCAGCCGTTTGCTGGTGGTGACAAATCCGTTGGCCTACTCCGGCTCAAATTTGGCAGCGTTGGAGATACCGATGACTTTGGCGAGGAGGCAGCCTCCTATGCTGCTGCTATCCGACGCGCTACAAGACGCTTACGCAGGTGGGCGGCGCACGAAGGACCCCCGCTTGGCGTCGTCCCTGCTCGAAAGAAGAGAAAGCAGAATGGCGATGAAAGGGGCGGGGACATGGACGCCTCTAGGTTGGGCACTCCATCCAGGATGAATGGTGATGCGGATGGAGACATGACTCTGGGTGACGTAACCATGGGAGACATGACGATGGACTACGACGATGACGGCGGCGACGAAGACGACGACGAAGGCAATGAGACGCTTCTTCGCGGCGATGACGGCTTCGAGGACGAGACGCTGCGTGTTGAGGAGTAAAAGGTGGGCGGGCGGAAATTGTTCAAGCGAGACGCATCACATCGTCGTTCATCCTCCCTATAAGAAAAGTCGGCAATTGATAGACAGAGCAGGGGACGTCCCCTCTTCCCTTTCCCTTTCCTTGAAGTTTTAGACTCGCGGGCGTCGGAGTTGTATATTAGTAACATTACAAAAAGCCGGGCGTGGGAGGATATGCGGGCGAAGGGTGAAGGATCACTGACGCTGGAGAGTATCTCTAGGAGCGTCTTCTTCTACTTTCTTTTTTTTAACAGATTAGTTGGTTCTTTTCTTCTTTTTCTGTAGTACCTTGTCATTGTGCCCAAACTTGCACGCGAATTCGATGAGAGCTTATATCAAATCCGAGTCGAGACTTTTTTTCAGCCTTTCTGTACTCTGGGTGATAGGACGACGGGATACAACATTACCAAGCAAGAGCAACGAGGCAACCATCGGGGCTGTAGCAGGAAAGAAGAAAGCATGGTGGCGGTCTTCCTTGTGCTGATTCAGGCAGTGGTGTCGACGGGTGGACAGCCACGCTGCTCATATAGAAGCCAGAGCAGAGAAGCACCGTGTCAACCGGCCTGGTCGATGTTTAAATTTGCCAGCATGCGCCCAATTGCAGTTGATACGGAAGTCGGCTCAGCGGTGCCTTTGTGACGTCCAACCTGGAACGTACTTTTCTTGGTGTGTGCTTGATAGACTCGCTTCTGGCACTCGAGATGTCTGATTCTACACATTGGTCAACCTCTGTCACGTTTGTCGACCATTCCGATCCAGTGAGCGCCGACTAGCACGCGCCGAGGTATCTTGAAGTGGATTTCGTGGTGATATCGGTATAGTTTTTCTTATATTGCCGGTTGGGGAGATAAATATTCGAAAAAGAAAGGATGTGAGGCGGGCTTGCTGATCTGTCGCGACGACAGCTTGACTTGTTTACTTCTTGATCTATGCGAGGTGAAGCTCACAGAGGCCGCGTGGTGGGCGAATTGGATCTTGTCAATCATCGCTATTTCTGGTATATTTTGGCTACGTTCTTACTGTTCCCTGTCCAACTAACCATTTCGTTCTTTGTGTTCATAGACAAGTCCAGAGTTTTGCTTACACCCACAGTTTCATGCGAAGCGTCAAGAACGGGCTGAACATCTCCTAGAATCCTATCTGGCTTAGCTACGCTATTTCAATTACGTTCAATATGGTCTCTCTTCGCTCAAATATACGCACGAAAGGCTTTGAAATATCGTATGGTTTTGTGCAGGTTGGCAACGGAAGATACAATGGCAGAGGAGACAACATTTGACGAATAAAATGAGACTTGAAGAGACCCAAAATTAAGACGGCTGGTTTCTTGCAGATCCATGAGCCCATTTACAGAACAGCAAGGAAAATAATGTTGTCTGAGCAAGTTCGCAAACGACCGAGGGCTAAGCTTCATATTCCATCATCGTCTGCGAGATGACCTCTTCTTCTGATGCATGGTAAACAGTAGAAACGCAATTTCTTTTGCCACTTGCGGTTACGGGAGCTTGCAGGACATTTAAGCCTTCTGTTTTGGCGTGTTCCTATTGTGAACTATGCTTGGCTTAACGTTCATCAATCATGGGAGCCTCGCTGATTACTTCGATTCACCAGGGTGCGTCAAAAGTTGGATGTGGCAATCAGGCGCAGCACCAAATAGAAGTTTGGTGTTACGACAACGTTTACGGGAAGGGAACGACATTTCTCAACTTCATGGGTGGCGCAGTTGTAACTAAAGTCTCGATGTTGTGATCGATGTTGCGATCGATGTTGCGATCGATGTTGCAATCGTGCCACTTTTCAACTAGGCCAGAACCAGAAGACCTCGCGGAACGAGAATGTACAGCTGCAGTGTTCCAAAGCCCGCTAGATGGCAAGAGAACACCAAGCCGGTCTGTCAGCTACGTGGACATGTTGCCTAGGCTTTCGGTTGCTCTTAGGCTACAGAAACGTAACGCCACGCATGTCTGCGGATGTATATTGTATACACAACTCCGCCGCCCAGATGCTCTCTCGCGCGCGGATAACTTGCAGAGTCAGACGTGCAGTCCCCTCGGCGTCCTCGAGAGCGCGCGGCAGCTACAAAGACGCAGCCCGGCCTGATCTGTAAGCAGCTCGGACAAAGTTTCTATGAACAGCGACACATGTTGAGAAGGACGAGTCGACTACAACGCTACTGCAGGACCGGGCCGCCAGGTGTCTGACCTCAACCCGAGCTGCCCGCGTGCCCATTTGTAAGAATGCCATGTCCATGCTGCAGCAACACCGCACCCGACCGCAGATCTCGATAAGTTACGCAGGATTTCTGCTGGGTGGCTAGGTTGAGTCAGAGGGAACCTGCTCGTGTGCACTGGCCTTGGTTCGTTTGTCGGGAGAAGAGCGACTTGGCTGGCGGGGCCGGACCCGAAGGGGGTGGAGCCGGTGGTCTTCGGTTCGGTCAATCGGGCTCAAAGGGGCAGCCGCTTGTTTGCTGATGGAAATTCTAGCATCTTTGCCGTTTGTGCGTTTACTTTCCATCAGTCTCACTTCGATTTTGTGCTGAAGTCCCAAGAACCGGTAATGCCTGACGTCTCTCGATACACATTGTGTTTTCTGTTGGATAAAACATATCACAACTCAAGCAACCGGGTTTCGCCAAAACCGGTGTAAGGTACCTTTGGACTTTACGCGTATTCCTGTGTTAGATTTCTGATGGACCGTTCTGGGGCTTAAGTCCTGGCCGACTAAGTCCGCTGTGCCCTCGTGTGCCGGCACCGTTTCGGCAGCAGGCCGACCAACTGACTTTCTGTGCCAAGATGACGGGGAGAACTGGGGCACTGCAGGGGGTGTGGAGCCGTCTTGTTGGTTTTTTTCTGTTCTCGTTGATAGAAGATGACTTTCACCAGGACGAGGGTCATGTCCGTTAGTTGCCAAGAGTAGCTTATTCACAGCGCCCTCGAGCACAGGAAGAACCTTGCTTCAGACGGTGAATGCAGCCTTCGGATGAATGTCCAGACGGAAAAGACGCGCGTGTAATTGTTGATGATTGGACCCAACGCAGAACGAGTCCGTGAGCGACAGCCCTGGTAGCTTTCGTGCCTGGCAACTGATGGATGTCTTCTGCAATTTTTTTTTCCTCTGGTCCCTCCGAGGGTGTTTGATGAATCATGGATCCGTCCGCTGCAGTGGACGAGTGTGCGCCAACGATCTTTCCACGAGGGTGGTTGGTTCCAGGGATGGGCGCTGCATCCTGGCGGCCGGCAAGGTCTTTGCCGGCCCCGGCAGCAGTCCCTGAGGGCAGCTTGGACCGCAGAGGACACCAGGCTCTATGGAAGGGTTCATCTCTGCTGGTCTACGATCGACTTCCGTCTCGCGTTGAGGCGTACTCGAGGGCGATTATCATAAGTGGAACAACTGCACTCTGTAGATTTCCAAGAAACGTGGTGTCCATCTTATGGGGCTCCTGTCTGATCTCGAGTCGTGCTTCTTGATCTTCCTGGAACACGAGGTCGGCACTGTACTCGTCGCAACAAAGGTTCGTGAGTAGGAATGATTGAGGTTGAGCGTTCGTCCGATGCTGGATGCGCTGACTGTTCAAGTGTCGCTGTTCCTGCGGCGATGGATGCCAGAAACGACAATCCAGCTTGGCATAGTAGCGACAATAGGGAAGAAAGTCGACAAGCCAATCGCGCCGAAGATGTTCAATTGGTAAGTCATCGAAACAGGAGCAAGTCTGAGGTGTAGCTGGGACTACTACCGGCTTTGTCAGCTTAATTGGGGGAATCCCGAGGCCGTTGTATTGATGTTTCTGTTGCAGACCCAGAAGACGTGGTGCCCATCAAAATTTGCAACCGTCGTAGTGGAATACTTGTTTTGGGCAAGGCAAACGACGAACTGTCCGGTGGGCCCGAGTTGCGAGGAGGGAGTCCGGCAGGGCGATGGGGCGAGAAGAAGTCCTCAATCTGCGGTTGACGAGAGGGCTCGCTGGCTGGTTATGCTTAACAAATAGAGTAGCGAAAGATTTGGCTGCTCTTTCCTACCGAACGGCTGGCGTTAGTTCGGCACGATGGGCTGCACCTTACCTTCGGGTCGGCTAAAAAGAGGCCGCTTTCACCGATGGTTGGTAATGCCTTTGCAACTGCAGGAGGCAGAGAGAAAGACAAGCTGCCGTCCGTCGTGGCACCTTCTTGCCTCGTGCTAGCCATTTCGTGGCACCCCTGTCTCGTGCTGTCCCATCCTATCCCGTTTCGTCTGTGTCCCCATCGTTTTCCCCCTTCCACCTCCCGGAACCAGTCCAGGACTCCAGGCCAATGCAATCCCAGCACCCCATGCATCGAGAATGGCCGCCGCTGCTGAACGGTGGACGGTGGCCCAGTTCGCCCTCCCGCCTTCGCTCCTCGATACTCACTGCAAGTCGGGTTGCTGTGCTGGGTCGGCCTTCGCCGACTAGAAGTCACTGTGCCTGCCCTTCCTCCACAACCCGCTGCTCAAATCCCCTGCGGAGAAAATGCGAACAATAAAAAGTACATTGTCCAGAGTCCAGACTGCGCAGCTATCTGCCTGTCATGCACTCTACTCGCGGTTCTTTCTTGCCCACACCCACTTTCATATGCAGACGGTCTTCATCATTACACGTACAGTTCCTTCTCACCCTTAGCTGACGTAGTTCGTCCATATCTCTGACTCTTCCTCGCTTCCTCTCGCTATCTTTCCCCGTGTTGTCACCTCTCCATTCATCCATCCTTCCATTGTCCACAATTCCACGTCTCTACCCCAACCCCTTCGGAGTTCGACACCACCTAGACCGGGTTTCGACAGTTTGCCCTCGCTTTTACCAAGTGGAACCAGGGACATCTTTGATGATTCCGTACCGAATTCTTTCTTCCCGAGTGACGGACATATGATTTCTATCCCCGGCCGCACACTAAAACCTTAGCTTGCTGCGCTGCATCTGCTGTCTCTCTCAGTCGCCTCCAACAACGGGCTGGCTTCACCCACATAAATAT